TTTGTGACATATTCTACATGACCTGTATATTGTTATACAGTTTCAGTATAAATAAATATATAAATTATGACCATGACATTTGTCTGATTACAACTGGGTTCTTGGGACAATAACTTTGTAAACTTGTCCTCACTATTAGCCACTGCATTAATAAAAGAAGCAAATAGTACTTACCTGAAATGGTGTGTAATGATCAGGAGGTTGCGGGAGTGATTGTGCTGCAGAATATGAGCTACATGTAACTGCGAATCTGTTCAGCTGTATTGAAATCACTTTTTACTGCACAAAAATTTATAGTGCAGCATTCTAGCAGAATCAATGGTGAAGGATATCCTAACTCTCCCTGACCATACCATAGCCCTGTAAGAGTATTACATATTGTCATAAAACCTTGAAATAATTCATCTATAACTATTACACACATGGTTCTGATGCTACATTGAGGGGTAACGTTTAATACATTTAATGCAGATGTTGTTCCCTGAAGGCCGACTCCCGGTAACATGTAAAAAGAGTATTTAAATTTTTATATTTTAGGGGAAAATGTTGGCTAGAGTAGAATTAGTTTTGGGAAATACTTGTAAGACGTACAAAAGAGGATGTAAGAAGGGTTAATGAACTTCACGGAATTTCTGTGTATGGAGTTAGACGGCCGTTAGCCTTTGACGTGTTGATGTCTTGTCAGCAGAATAACGTCGGAGGTATATTGAACTGCTAACTACAGAATCTACACTTGAGTGAAGGGAGAGATGTTTGCAGGTAAAAGTGTTAGCCAAATGGTCTAGCAGACAAGGGGGGTATCCACCCCTACGGATCCCAGCCAACGGGAGCCGCCACCTGGGATAAGACGTCATTGGAGGCGGAACTGCACCCTCCGGGAAAATAACGAGTTAGCAAGAATAAAGGTATATAACCCGGAGAGCATATTATTATCAAGATTATTCAAACAGTAATTTTGCCCAATTGCGGCCGGAGGCCATGTTGGAAGAGGCACCGACCAGACGCCAGGCCCACCATCCGTTTAGTCTCAACGCAAAGTAAGTGAAACTACTCTTATCGCCATGCTTAATAATTGTGATATTATTAAAGTGTAACCCCTCCAATGGGACTTGAGTTAGGAACGTTGCAAGTGTACAGGGCGTAAGAGTGACTCAACGGAGTGATGCAGAGGTACACAGGTGTAACATAGAGGCTGCAGAAAGTGTGCCTAGCTGCAGGGATGTGTAAAGATATATACGATGGGGTACCCAAAAGAAACCGAACTAATTTTTTTGTGGGCAGAGCTTTTGTAGTACCGCGTTTTGCCGCTATGAGCGCATAGAGCTAACATTCCTGAGTCGATAAGTCAACTACCGTTGCTTCAGAAGGTAAGGACTAGTTCCGGCAGAGTTTATAGTGACAACTGTTTTGTGTGATCGTCGTTTTCGCAATGGCTGATTTTCGTGAACAGCGTGCGGCGGTGAAATTCTGCTTTTTGCTCGGGAAAAGTGGAACAGAAACTCTTGAAATGTTAAAAACGGCGTACAAGGACGATGCTATGGGGAAAACTCAAGTGTCTGGGTGGTTTTCCCGTTTAAAAAATGGTGAAATGTCAATTGATGACAAACCTCGTTTTGGTCATCCTTCCACGACCTGAACACATGAAAATGTTGAAAAAATTCGTGAAATCATCAAGGAAGATGGACGACGGACCATTGAAGAAATTGTGGAGCTGTCAGGAGTCACTTGGAGCTTAGCGGCCAGATTTGTGGCGGTCGGGTGACTGGTTTTTCCATCATGACAATGCCCCTGCTCACACAGCTCTGTCTGTACGACAATTCTTGACCGAAAATGGTATGACCCCTGTTCCTCACCATCCATACTCACCCAACCTTGCCCCGTGCGACTTTTTTTTTCCTCGAATGAAAAGAAACATGAAAGGAAAAAACAACGGAGGCGCTGTCAAGCATCTCAAAAGATGAATTTAGACAATGTTTTGAAAAATGGAATAAAAGACTAGACAAGTGTATTAGTGTAAGTGGAGAGTACTTTGAAGGGGATTGAAGGTTTGTGCTTAAAATTTGAATAAATAAGTTTAAAAAAAATAAGTTCGGTTTCTTTTGGGTACCCCCTCGTATAAGATTTGATGCAGTCTAATGAGGCACTGTCTATGGGACCATTTGTCTTTGAAGGTCATTTTAAGAGCTGTNTTAAGATGAGGTCCAAGAATCGTTTAAGAAAAGTGCTATGTGTAACACGACACCAGTCGGCTCTGTATTTGTGATATTACTAAAATGTATATAGTTGTATATTGATGTTTATACTAATAAAGGGTAGCATAGAGTGAGAATGAGGGTTTTTGTTGTTGTGATTGCCTCCCTTACCACATTTCGCACTTGCGCCCTCCTGCCAAGCCCGGTGAACAGTGTGCCCCTAGCCAATGAAGCAACGATAGAGGAAGTAATTTTGCAGTTTCCTTAGCCCTCCCCTGTGACTGCAGTACCAGAAGGTGGCAGCGGGGATGACTCCACGCCCCCTGTCACCATGGAATAACAGCAGACACTAGCTAAACTTAATTTCTTCGTTGGAATAAGCAACACATAATAAAGCCATTATATCATGTATTAAGGCAGACTTCATCATCATCATTTATTTATTTACATTCCATAAATCCACTACATATAGGATAAGGAATTAGTCACTGATAATACAAATAACACTACATAGAAATAATAATATAAATAACAATATAAGACATTCAATACCATAATCACAGTTGATTATTGGAGTCAAATTTACAGTCAAAGTAATTCTTCCAAGGAATAAAACGAGTTCATCAACAAAAATCTTCTTATAACAATTTTAAAATGTTTAACATCTTGAGCCAGGTTCCTTATATGAGGAAGCCAATAAAAACCTTATAACCATGGTAATACACTCCTTTCTGAAATACAGTCAACTTACATGTAGGATAATGGAATTTATTATTATATCTTGTATTCCTATTATATAACTCAGAATTTAAGTTAAATTGATCTTTATTATTAATCACGAACATTGCAGGAGAAAATATATACCGAGATTGAAGGGGTAAAATTTCCAGTTCCCTGAACAATTCCCTACATGAATCTCTGTTCCCAGAGTTCATTATAATTCTAATCGCCCTTTCTTGCAACCTAAAGATATGAATACTATAAGGGGAATTACCCCAAAAAACCAAACCATAGGTCATAAATGAATGGAAGTAAGAAAGGTAAATCATTCTTAATGTACCCTGAGACATGTAAGATTTTAGGGCTCTTATCGCGTAACATGCGGAGCCCAATCTAGACATTAACCATTCCACATGTCCATTCCAAGACAATGTGTTATCAATAATAAGCCCCAGAAACTTAGTATTTGCAGTGTTAACAATCCGATCATCATC